GTTTTCAGAAGAAGATTATTTTTCGGCTTAATGTTAATCGCATCCATAAGAAAATGAATTCCTATTTCAAGAAGACTAAAATAGACTAGTTTTTCTTTGTAATGCAGTCAATATTCAACGTTGATTGATCTTCATTTATGTCTAGATCACACCAACAGCGATCTAAACTTCAATCGACAGTATTTATATAAAATAGAAAATAGTAGTTTCGGAGTGGCTCTCGGCGACTTTAATGGTGACAATTGCATGGATTTTGTTATTTCCAGTTATCTCGGAAATCGTCTCTACATTTTTCTTGGTCATGGCAATGGAACATTCAAATTACCAACAACTCTAACAACCGGTACTAATCCGTTTAATATGATCGTCGACGACTTCAATGGAGACAGCTATGCAGATATAGCTGTCACTCAGCTTGGCAATGACAGTATAGGTGTTTTACTTGGTCTTGGTGATAGTACTTTTCATTCACAAAATTCTTTCGCAGTTGGCTTTGGTCTGTCTGCAGTTTCTGTCGGAGATTTTGATGGTGATCAATTTCCTGACTTGTTGGTACCCAACAATGTTTTCAATACCGCCAGTGTTCTTTTCGGCTACGGTAATGGCTATTTCGCGTTCCCAATATCTTTTCCTGCTACCATAGGTCCACTCACAGCCGTTGTAGCTGATTTTAATCACGATAATCTTTTAGACTTCGCTCTTGCAAACTATGGCGGTGATAGTGTGAGTATTTATCTTGGCTACGGCAACGGTTCTTTCCAAATGCTAGCTTCCTATCCCACCATGACCAATCCTTGGCAATTGGCTATGGGTGATCTGAATAGTGATCAACACATGGATCTTGTTGTATCAAACTGTGGAAATGGTACAATTAGTGTGCTACTTGGTAATGGTAATGGTACGTTTCGAGCAGCGGTTCACTACTCGGTTGGAGTCTGTTCGTATGGCATTGCGATGGGTGACATGAATGGTGATAATTACTTGGATGTCGTTGTTGTTGGAACCTTTTCTAATTTTTTTATTGTATTTCTCGGAGATGGAACGGGAAATTTCTCCACATGGTGGCCTTTTGTTACAGATTACGTTCCATCATCGTTGGTTCTCTATGATTTCAACAATGATGATCGACTTGATGTTGTGATTGTTCACGGTACGGGTAGTGTAATAGTATTTCTAAACAAAGGTTAATGTCTTAAAACTTTTCTTGAATTGAACTCTTGGAGGAGGTACTGCACTTCAAATCGCTACAGTTAAAATGTCCTTCATTTGCTCATTCATTTGTTTTTCTTCTTTCAAAATAAACGATTTATGAGAAAAATCAAAAGATATTCTTCGATGGATGCCATGTAGTAGTTCTTTATCAACTAACTTAAGCTACTGAAATGACTCGAAGGCACTGAATATTATGGTTCGACCACTATTATTCTAATAGTGAATGAATAAGTGAGAGTGAACGTTGAAGAACTTTTCAATCGGTGATACGAATCATCATTGTCGAGGCATATAATGACAATTGCATGAAATATTATGGTGTTTGGCAAAGAAAAAACGAAACATAGAAACAGAATCATTTAATTCAATTATTAGGATGATAATCTTTTGAGTGAAAATAGTAAAAAACAATACAATTATGATTTGATAGAATGCAAGAATGCTTTGATTCGTTATACTTTCACACATATTTTATACATGAAAAATCGGAAATTAATGAAAAAAAAAAGTAATTCTTAATAATGGAGTTTATGGTTCTAAAGAATAGGAAAGTTTTGTCTCCATTTGATCTCTATACTTAGTTAATTATTATGTGTGATGGTTTTGCCTTTCATTGATCATACGATCTGTTTTAATGAGAAACATGAAGGTAATGGTATCAATTAAGTTTTGAAATGTTGTATAGATAAATGTAAATGAGTGTCCTAACCGATTTTCGATAACAGTGATGAAAACAAAGAAATTCTGCAGTATGACAACAAAATATGCGTTAACAATAGAAGAATAATCATGATGTAGCGAAATAAGTTATAATACGGTTTTAAGAGTCACGATTCTATAGTTAGTCACAAGGTCTCTTTCATAGTATCGATCATTCTGTTTAAAGTCACGGAATATAAACGATCTGAAACAGATTTCTTTTAGTACGGAACAAGATTGAAAGGTGGACGATTGATTCTCTGTATTCATCACTACTATTTCCAGTTTTTATTTATTGCGACTACCTTATACTTTCTAGAGCGTGTTCTCGTCGTATAAAACGATGCATCCAAATATTTAATATATTCATAGGAAACTATGAGCAAAATGGAAACTAATAAACTATTTGCTTGAAGGAAACGTTTTTCTACAATGATTGAAAAATGACCGTCATTACCATTTATTATTTCGTAATCAAAATAAATACACAAGTCAAGAAGAAAGCTTAAATACCAGCATGAATGACGAACTGCATAAATAGAATCATATCGAAAGTTAACAAGCCAGATAATTATCTTTCAATATGACTTAGATTAGTTTTCATTATTTTATGTAATTAGAAACACTTTTTGCAATAGTTCCACATTTGTCTTTCATTGGACTACTCTTACTGTACTCTAGAATGACTGAACTAAAATCGAGAGTCAATATAATTTTTTGAATTTTTGAAAGCAATTCATATAGCAGTTAGAGATGTTAGACATCATTTTTAAAATTCATATATTTATACACATGGAAGAAAAAAATTACGCTGGCTAATTCATAACTTAGATGAGTTCCTATATAGAACTCTAAACAACCTACACTTAGGCATAATGTTGCAAATATTGAATGCGGCGAAAAACTTTAGAATAATTCATGACAAGCTTTCATGGTCCAATCTTAAAGCCATTTTATCTGATCGATACTCTGTCGATCATTATTTTACAGTTAGCAATTATGTTTTCGTTGAATTGTCATTTTTCCTCAAACAATGTACACATATATGTGTAAATATTTTCTTATAAGAATTTTTTTCTCTCTTATTCGATTATTTTTACATTTTATGATCCATATTGTTGCTGGATTTCGCTTTTCAATGTCAATAAAGATGAAGATATGTTGAAAACATTTCAAAGTAGCATTATTGACATGAAACAGATATTCCTCCTAGAATTCATCAATTTTTCTAAAAAAATATTGTCTGTGGAACTTTGCAATATCGTAGCGAAGTTCTTCCGAAAATCAATCAAGCATGTTTCTTTGTATATACACAACAAATTCTTAGATGAAAATGAATGTATTCTCTAGTGAGAAAACCTTTATTATATATTTGCAAAGAGTTTGCCAATTATTTTCTGATGATCATTATTTCAAAATCAAAGTTGAAAGGAGCAAGACTAAGTTATTTCAGTGTGATACAATGATCTTCGTTAGTTTTTGTCACGAGTCAAATATCTTGATTCCATACTTCATTTTCACTCAAAGGAAGTTATAATTAACTTCAAAGTATTGATAATATCAGAATTTTCAAAAATTCTTAATTTTTTTCTATTTCTAAGCAACTTACATAATTAGAACTCAGTCGATCGATGATTGTTTCATCCCAGAAATTAACACGTAGATCTGGTCACACTGTAACTAGAATTCCAATGAACTACACTTGTTTCATACTGATTTTAACTCTTATATTCCAATAACTCAAGATTTGCTCGAGCTCCCAATGGATCAATACTAAGTTTCGAAGAAAGAGGAAATAGTACGTATTCAACTGTTAGTAGAATTGTATTCAAGATATAGAAATTATCGTGCAGTTTTCATTCGCAATTTTATTCAAATCAAAACGGATATTATCTTACAACCAATCAATCAGATTTCATTATCTGTTATGACAAGAAAGTTGTTAAAGATTTAATCATCATCAATACTAAAACAATGAGTAAGTACCTAGTTAAACCGATCATCATATGTAAGCTTAATGAAGAAATACTCAAATAAATCAATTATAAAGGAACATGTATTGAATCATATAAAAGAATAAAGAAAACAAAGTCATCATGCAAATCGTCGAACTCAATGCTTGATGAAATCGCATTTTCGAGTGTTCGAATGATATTTCTATATTCAATTTCATTAAAAGATTTACAAATAGTGAAACAGGCATTCACAAATAACTAAATAATAAAGTGATGCGCAAGATTTCAATTGGAAATTTGAAGCAGAAGATATCTATGAACATTCTTTTTTACACGTACTCGTGTTTTTTTTTAAATAATTCTTATATTTTTTTCAAATTATCTTCAAACATCTTCAAGAATATTGAAGTACCATGCAGTATACATGGAAATAAATTGGAGAGGACCAAAAATAATAAGTGATACTGCCAAATAATTCATGAAACCTCATGATACTTCAACATCCTTTACCCTGTGAAAGTCAGATGATTTTCCGTTGTCGAAAGATGAGAAGGAGAACAAAATTACATTAAAATTTCAATAAAATATTCTGACTATAATAAAGATCAGTAGTATCGTAGTCCGTACAATATAACGAAGAATATACAAAGATCTTCTTAAAGCTTAATAAAACAGTATATTGGTAACATCTGATTCTCTAGTTAATTATAACAAAAAAAAATAGACGCTTTAACTCGAATGGGTTTATTTTCTCGATAAATGCTCTTTTAATGTTCTTGTATGTGAGATTTTGTAACCAACATAACTATTCGATAATGTGTTGTCAAGGAATCAATCCAGCATATATGATTGAAGTTCAATATATATTTATCGGAAAGATAAAATAGCGAGGAATATGTAAGGTAGTATAGACCTACTAGTAATTAATTTGTATTTTTAGATTGAACAAACACCAATAGTCAGACATCACGTACAACTCTCTTCTACCTCAAAAAAAAATTACACTTGGAAAGAATGTCATTTTATTAGTAGAAATAGTAATTATTGGAGACAACATGCAAAATTCCAATGATATATAGAACTACATAGAAAAACAAAATCAAGAAAAAAAGCAATATCTATTATTTAGTTCAATTAAATATAGCCAATAATTTGAGCTTCCGAATATTGAACACCCCATTCTGGAGCACGTTGAGAAGTAACAAGAAGTCGATAACTTCTATAGGCAATTGTGTTCGAAAAATTTTGTCTAGTAACATATACCATTCGACCTGGATCCGCTGTGTGACTGATGCCAGTCGAACCACTATAGATAAGTGCCCAGCTCGATCCATTATCAAGTGCATTAGCGTTGGATCCTTCGAGAGTCACTGTGATTGGATCACGATTAGGAGAATCATTTGCAGTTGCAAAGAGAAGACTTATGGCAATTGAAGCATTGCTAATGGCAGGTATAACATAGAAACCAGTGCCAACTCCAGGTACAGAGGCCACTACGTTATAGTCACCAGTGCCTCCAAAATTGAAGTATTTTGTGGAAGTAGAGTTATCAATGGCTTGAGCAGGGTGTTCAGTAATTATCGAATACCTACCATCCTTACCCCCCGTAGAGGCACCAGCCGTTGTGTTATATACTCCAATAATAGTGTCTCCTGGTCGAGTGATTGTTACGATTGAACGTATAATCGTTGTTGTTGTTGAAGTTGTTGTTAATGTGGAACTTACTGAGTCAGTACTACCTAATTGTAATAGACAACAAAGTAAACTACATGAAACTATCTCAAAGAAAAAAAACTAGAACGTGAACAATGGCGTATATTGTTTTTGCATCTACTCATAAGAAAATAATCCTAGTAATGTTGTCACTTTTTGATACAATATCATTATCTGTATTACTTACATGATTACCCTGCTTGAATTAAAGCATTTTAAAACTAACATAAGATCTTGCTATTGTGGATCCATCACTGGTTCTCGTTATGTAATATTTCAATTCATACAAACAACTAGAAGGCAGCTAACATTCGTTGAGAACGAGTTTCATAAGAGAATCGTCTAGCACATTTGTATATTGTAATGTATTAGTGTGAAAATGTATCAGACCGATTTTTCGCTAATAAGAATAGATGTCAATAGATAGATGAGCAAAAACCTTGAAAAACCATTAGCCATTATTAGAAAGAAGAAGAACACAGAATGAAATCTGACTTAAATGTAACTCGATGTAACTTAAAAAGAAAGTTGATAATAGTTTGAAAATATTCTAGTTTTCATTAGTCGTATTCTTCGTTTTACATTGCATAGCAATTTTAAGTATCAATTTTCAACTAATTCTCGAAAATCCAATGTAACCATTTATTTGCTCGATATTAGTATAATTAGGTGGCTATTTTGTACATTTGATGAAATAATAAATAAAATGTTCATCATTTAATTAACGTGATATTGACAATAGAAAAACAGTATGAAATTCATAGTAGCTGAGACTCTTCTTTCTAACAAGAAACTTAATATTAAATGAAAATATCTACAATGTTTCTACTTTTTAAACAACAACCAGTTCAAATCATGTAGTTCACTTCATAACAATTACATCAATAGTGATATTCTGACAAAAAATTTGAGTAATGATTATTATTTAAGTGCAGTTTGCCAATAAAATTAGATTATGTCAAAATTTAAGTTGCTATGAGTAATGATGAAATATTATAGCGCTTTACCTTCGGAAGTCATTTCAGTGTTTACAGTTGTTATTTTCGATTGATTGTTTATTGGTAGTTGTAGAAAGTAGAATGTACTATTAAAATTAATGTCTAGTTGATAGATAGAGAAGCTAATATAGTTTATCATTGTAAATAACTGACCAATAACAAAATTAATATTCTTAGTATAGCAATTGAATGAGAGGATTGAAGAATTTCCCGTAGTTCTCAACATTGTACACAAACATTCATTACATGTTGATCCATTCATTGTTTTATTGATTGAAGACATCATCATCAATGAAGTATTATGAATGATTCCTATACGAATTGCACTAATAACATTATTAATAGTTAAGACAAAAATAATTATTGAAGTGTACTTCATTCTACGACAGATGTGTGAGTTTTTGTGAAAAAAAAATCAGAAAATATGTCATGTACTTGCTGTTGTTGATCTTTTATGAACGTAAGAGTATGCATGTGACGGTTAAATATAAAGACAATAATGTTTGACAAATACTCGGAAAGAAGAATAATAAAAAATATCGTATAAGTATTGGCAAAATAAACGAGTGTCGTCATGCTGTTTGGTTTGAATTACTGAAATTGCAATGTGTCATTCACATTGTGAAAGAGTTATTAAATTATTCAAATAATTTCTACATGTACATGAAATACTTCTACTAAAGACTCTTTTACATATGCGTTTGAACGCGATTACTATAGAAAGTACCGCAAATACGTGTTTACATGTGTTTCAAGATTCAAATGATAAATAGGTTTCATTACCAATAATCAAAACATGCTAAAGTTAACATATCGCATATTAGACGTAGATTTATAATAATCATATTACTACTAATGTTTACACAATAGAAAAACAATTCGTTAATTAATTCAAAATTTTATTTTTCAAATCAGCTGAAATTTCTATTTCTTTTGATTGTTAAAAGTTTTCATCGAAGATACTTTATATGCTATAGTGAATGCAAATCATAGAGAAAGATTTGATCATGGTACAATTATCAAAATATCAAAGAAAGTTTTAAAAAATTGACAATGTCATTATCGAACATTGATTTTTGGCAAACAAATGTTCATTAAGAATGAAGTTGCAAAAACAAATCAGTATGCCTATATAAAAAATTCTTAAAGTGCAAGTAAATTCAAACAGTATAGAACGAGCTTGCTGTTGCTCCTTTTAGATTAGATTCTCTTTATACAAAGATGAAAACATTCACTTTCTTGAATTCTTATCATTTTTACACCCACACCCTCATTCGCTATCAAAATTGTCTTTTTTTCAAGTTTCAAAATTTTAAAATAGTTTTTCAATACACTTTCTCTTCAATCAATATATATGAATTATTTCGAGTTCAATATGTTTAATTCATTATTTTGACATTTGTGTATTATGAAATTTATTCATTCTGAAGCAATTACCAAATATTGAATGATGAGTAATATTTCATCTATTTATTTTAGCAAAATGTTAAATACTAATGAAAAGAAGAATATTATGTCAATAGGACGGAGAAATACATATATAGACGAACATGAAAAATGAATAAAAAAAAATAATGAAATCATGCTAAAATGCTGAATAATAATTCTTTATTTGCATCCATTATTTTATTTTTTCTTAACAACATGATATGGAGTAAGATTTGTAAGAATATAATTTAAAAGACGATTTGATTCTTGTACAGAATCTGACCAACTCATCGTATATTCTGATGTATCTTCATTATTAAATCTAATACCATTTTGTACAGCCATTAAATATCGAAACGATTCATTTTCAAAAAAGAATGTATTTGTTCGATTAAAACAAATATCATTCATCGAAAATGAAGCAAACATTTTTCTAAGCAGTGATGCTGTACTTCCTGGCATGGATAAAGTCATAAATGCATTAGTGAAACAAAAAATAATATTTTTTTGAGCATTTGAACCTAAACGATTTAATAGTTGATTAAAACATAATTGAAAACTATTCATTAATCGTGTTGCATCTGGTTGAAGAAGAAAACATATAGCATTCAGATGTGTTATATTATTAACATATTCTAAAATATGTTTTATTGTATTGGAATTTTCTTGATCAGTATCTTCGAAACTAGGTGTATCAATAAGACATAATTTTTTCTTACTATTTTGATTAAGATCAAATGTATAAGTTTGACAACGTCGTGTTACTAATTCATTATCATAATCGAAATCTCCATAGGTAATTGTCTTTTGTTGAAATGTATCGTTCGTCATCATAACAAACGAAAGAGGTTTCAACACTAATGGATGATTTGATTGAGCTTGTTCAACTGTTTTAAATTTAAGATAATTAACAAAAGCATTAATAAATGTTGATTTGCCAACACCTTTTTCACCTAGAAGAAGAATGTTGATAACTTGATCCGTTTTTGATAAAAGTTTTTCATCTTTGACTTTTAATTTTTCTATTGATGGAATGCGAATAAGAGGAAATGGTGGTTCAATTTCTTTAACATCAACAATATGAAGTTCATGACCAGTATCGAGCGATGAACTAACTTTAAATTGTCGAGCAGGAAACAATAAAACTTCTTTTTCCTCTGGATAAAATGAATGTTGACTGATGTCTTTAGCTGAATTAGATGCTGTATTACATGATATATTAAATATAGTTCTTTTTCCAGTTTTACCAATATGATTCTCAAGAATTCTAAGAGATGATGTACACGATGAAAAAGCCCACCACACAAAGTCTTCTCCTTCGCCATATCCTGAAACTAAATCCATTTTAACTCCTCGATAAATAATATGATGTACACTTGGTGGAAGTTTTGAAAGAGCATGTATAAAAAGTCGAAGATACAAAAACCATGGTATTAATTGACGTCGATTTCGAGAACGAAGATTCTCATTGAGGATGGTATAAAATGGTTTTTCTGGAGGGCCCCATTCTAATGTGTAAAGCATAATGGACGCTGATTCATCCTGTGATAAACCGTCTTTTGGTTTAGTACAGTTACTTTTAACCGTCCAAACCATGTGATTAACTTGTGGTACAATAGATTCAAGTGGTTTTACAGCCTCATCAAGTGAAACCAACGGTTGCTCATCATATCCTTGTATAGGTGGAAGCATTTGGTTCGGTTCGGATATAAAATCAGAAAATCTTGATGTGTTATTAGGAATGTCATTAAATTTAGCCATTTTTCAGCAATAATCAATACGTATTAATTATAAGAGGCTATATTTTCTAGTTATATGAAAGATTTGTCTAGTTGATTTATAATTAATGTAATTTCAATTGTTTGAATAATAATTAGACAAATAAAATTTCTTTATACTATCTAAAAATAAAAATATTCTATTATTCTTTACATTTTTTTGTTTTTGACAACATCATCTGCACTATTCTGTAAAAGATTGTGAAAGTAATGCAAATAACAATGAGATATGTAATTGCTACATCAATGACTGATCTTTTGTATGAAATTATAACTAAAATATGTTTGATGTAGTTTACAAAAAATGAAAATAATACTTCAAAAGAGTTAGTAAATTTATAATGTTTAGTAACTGTAAATATCTTTTATGACTACTTAGTTTTTTTGTTACCTGTTTAATGAAGGAAAAAATAAAAATGACTGCTCTTTATATTTACCTTTCTTTTTTCAGATGTATGAAAGTGAAAGTGCATTGCTTTTTTTTTTGTTTTTGAAAAGTGTCTCGTCTACTTTCTGTGATAAAAAATAAAACAAAATCTAAAGCATACTGCAAAAAACCACGTGTAAGATTATGCAAAAAAGTAATCCTAGAGACAATGAATCGAAAATATATCTCAATTCATATCGTTCATTATTTTTAAATATAATCTTTTGTGATTCAAAGAGACGATTCATTACATAAGTTTTTCGAAGAAAAAAATAATGCCCCGGGTGAGGATCGAACTCACGACCTTCAGATTATGAGACTGACGCTCTACCGACTGAGCCACCGCGGCGGCTGATTATTCTTATCGCTAAGAAATCACAGACAATATTCATTAGTAAGAAGAAAAGAGTAGATTTAAATACATGAAAACAATATGTATCTAATATTAGATATGATATAATATTAAATGTTCTCGAATAATCATTTGTATCATTGTATTGTAAGACATAAAAACCAAGAAGCATTTCTCTTATAAAACTTCTTCATTGGGAACTAATTTGTGTTTATTGAATCAAATTATTTTATTCTACAATGCTGTTTTGGTTATTGTAAAAAGAAATGAAATATCCTTTTTTTTTTCTTTCTAAATTATATATTGTGGTAGTAAGATGTTTTCGTGACTCTAAACAGTGAAAAGCGTATTGACAGACAAAATTTCTTTTTACCTTTGTATCTTTTCAATTCTTATTTTACTAATTTGAGTGTAGGCAAATATGATTGTATATGTCCGTATGACTATCGGCGAATGTGAATATAAGTTGTAGTTGGGATTACGTGTAGATCAGTATTGTTTTATGGTTTTGTGTGATTCTGATACAATCGTACATCGGCATCTATAACCACACCCTTTTTTTTGAAGGAATAGTTTTAAAAGATAAAATTTTCAAATTGATAGTTTCGCACATTGATAGCTCGAATGCATAAAAAAATTAAGAAAAGTATTTCTTATAAAAATCCTTTATGTACTGGTCTCTTTCTTCATAATCTGATAGACTCTTTCATAAATATTGCTCTCATCACAATATTTCACCTATTATTAAGATTGTAATCTTCAATCACAATCTAACATGGAACATATCTTTTAGCTACTCGTTGAACGATCATTAACAAAAATAATATTTAATTGTTTATCATAGTTAAAATCGCTAACAGAAATTTGATGTGAATTTGAATCAGATATAATTGAATAAACATTTTAATTTTCAAGTATCCAGTTATCATATTCTACAAAAATACTATTATTAGCAATAATAATATCGAGTTAATTATCATAATTAACTTCAGCAATAATAATTTAGGAAAACAACAAATCATAGCCAATTGAATATA